GTTACAGTGTGGGCAGGTTTGTCCAGTCAGAACAGAACTTTTTGACAAGCCCGGACTACCTGAATAACATTATTATTCCAGTGATTATGCCCCTACATGAACAACACGGGCCTAATTTCATCAACATGGACGATAACGCTCCAGCTCATTGAGCTCGCATCACCAGGGAACGGCTGTTGGAGACTGGGGTAACTCAAATGAGATGGCCTGCACGTTCTCCACACCTGAATCCTATTGAAAACCTGTTGCATCAGCTGAGTCCCCATGTAGAAGCTCGAAACTCTGCACCCCAGAACCTGAAAGACATGAGGGCTGCCCTTCAAGAAGAGTGGGATGCAATGCCTCAGCAGACAATAAGTCAACTTGTGAACAGAGATGTTGTTGTCAAGCTGTAATTGATGCTCAAGGGACATGACGAGGTACTAAGACGTTGACATTTTTTTGTTGTGGTGTTCCCACCTCTGTTGTTTCAATGAATTGTTTGAGAAATCAGCAGTGCATCCTTCTACTTAAATGTCCTACTTTCACGATATGATGTCACTGGAGCGTGAACTGTTTACATTTTCCATAAAACCTGAAAGCCAAATATCCCTAACTTTTTGTGAGTAGTGTACTGTATATAAAATTGGGGGCAAGCGAATGAGGCATCTTCAAAAATAGCTTCACTTTTACCTATCCAATACGGCAGCAGTGTCAACGCACTCAATAAGGCGTCTTTGTTTATGTATCGTAAATACATGTTGACTACTGACGAGGAGTGCTAAGTGAATATATCCAAATATATGGAGCAAAATAAGTGCTGTCTGTGGGCTATTAATAATAATCAGGCCCCACCATGCATTTCATGTGCCCACTTAAGGCTGGGCTCTAGCGATGGGTCTGTACCAGACCACTGCAAACTCAAGACCCTCTAAACTTTCAGCTAACACAAGGAGAGCACTGATCAGAGATGCAGAGATCCACAGCTAATGTGGGGAAATGTGTCCATAGGACAACAATTAGTCAGTCACACACACTGCACAATTCTAGCCTTTATGGAAGAGTGGCAAGAAGAAAGCCATTTGTCAAAGACAATACAAAAAAATCCTGTTTGAAGTTTGCCACATCTCCTGGGGGACACAACAAACATGGAAGAAGGTGCTCTCGTCAGATGAGACCCAAATTGCAAAACGTTATGTCTTGCGTAAAAGTAACCCTGCACATCATTCTGAACACACCATTCCCACTGTCAAACATGGTGGTGACAGCATCATGGTCTGGGGCTCATTTTCAATAGCATGGACAGGGAGGATAGACTTGATGGGAAGATGGATTGATGATACAACAGGGCTAGTATGGAAGAAAATCTGTTGGAGTCTGCAAAAGACTTGAGACTGTGACAGAATTCACCTTCGAACAAAAGAATGATCCTAAACATGAAGCAAAATCTCCAATGGAATGGTTCAAAAGTAAACATATCCAGGTGTTAGAATAGCCAAGTCAAAGTCCAGACCTGAATCCAATTGAAATCCGTGGAAGGATTTGAAAACTGCTGTTCACAAATGCTCTCCGTCTAATCGACCCGAGCTGGGGCTGTTTTGCAAAGGAAGAATGGGCAAATTGAGATGTGCAAAATACAAAAAAAGGTCCTTCTACAAAGTATTAACTCTTAAGATCCAGAATAATCCGGATGGGAGTGGAGCTCAAAAATGTAGAATAGGATAAAATTTGGGACAAAAATGTTTATTGATAAAAGGTGCAAGACCAACGGAAAGTACAAATGAGATTGATGGTACAACGAACCAGGATAAAACGAGAAAAAACAAAAGTGCTTGTAAAAGGCAAGGAATAAGATCAATGTTAGGCGTAGAAAAAAAAAGTAGTGTGTTTCCGGTAACCCGACCGACTGAGAATTTCTACGTCGAAAAACAACTTCACGGTCGGCATTTTTTTCAAACAACCCTCTACATTTTTGTGTAGAGGGTTTACATCGGTGCAAACTCTCACGATATTCACGTTGAGCGCGTGCATTGTTTGCCCTGTTGTCTGTCAACAACATTGAAACATGGCGGCGGCCGCGATCTCCGACGCCAGTTTAAACCGCGTTTTCTGTGTTACAGTCGCGTGCTCGCACCGTAATGTTAAGAAAATAGCATCCATTGATGTATCGAAAAAATTCAGCGAACTATTTCATGAACACCATGGGAGTAGTAAAAACCGAGGGCGCAGGAGGACGGCGGCGGAGGCGGCGGCGCGCCCCGGCCCCCCGAGTCCGGAGCGGGGAGAAAACTAAATAGGTGGCAGCAGCGCCGGCCGCGGCGCGGCGGGTTCAATGTCTTCTTGTTTTATGTTTTATGGTTATTTTGTTTAAATTTTTGATGGAAAAAAAGATTAAAAAAAAAAAAAAACTTTGTCCGACCTACCGACCCTATGCTGAAATTTCATGTTACCGGAAACACACTATCTTTTTTGTTTGGCCTAATTTGCTTGTCGCCTGATTGTTCGACCTCAGAGCTTCAACTATCCTAACGTATCTAATTCATACATTTTAGCATGATTAATTTTGGCTCCAGGTAGCATGGTGGACTAGTCATAAGCATGTCTGCCTTGCAGTTCTCATGCAAACTCCAGCCTTCCCAGGTGGAGTTTGCATGTTATCTTCGTGCCCACTTGGGTTTTCCCGCATTTCAAAATCATGCATGTTATCTTACTCGAAGACTCTACATTGGCCATTGGTGTGAACGTGAGTGTGGCTGCTTCTTTATCGACATGCGTCCTGCGATTGGCTGGCGACGAGTCCCAGGTGTACACCGCCTCTTACCAAAATCCCGCTAATGCAGACAAGTGGGAGTTCAAAAAATGAATTCAATTATTAGGAACGCTTTCCACTTCACCTCTGCTTTTGCACAAAAACCTTAGTGCTGTCAGTCAAAGGAGCAGCTTTCACCTACACACATATCATTTACACGCTCGAGGTCTGCTGTGCTAACAGGTGGGCTGTCATTGACTTGAACAAACCTGTAATTTGGCATTCAAGACACCATGTGAGTCTTGCATGATAATGTGTAATACAATTCCTCGGACTGGTTTCATAAACTCTAAGGACTTTGGGTTACCCTTTGTTTCCTCTAAGAAGCTGAACCCTTCACTGGTTTAGTTTGTCTTATTGAGTGCCGTGATATTGGCATGCCTTATATTATCTGTGTTTCTCATATTGGAATGCTTTCACGTGTGGTGGTCAAAGTATGGTAAAATCAAATACAGTGTAAACAGTATGCAGTCCTACTCTATCGATCCATCAATCCATCCATTTTCTACAGTGCTTATGCTCATAAGGGTCGTGGTTGAGCTGGAGCCTACAGTGCTGTGAAAAAGGATTTGCCCCCACCTGATTTTTATTTGTTTATTTTTTGCACATCTATCACACACAAAGGTTTCAAATCATCAAATCAATTTCAGTACGGCATGGGGAGAACATGCAAACTCCACACAGGAAAGCCAGAGCCAGAATCTGCACTTTGAGACCGGCGTGCAAATCAGTATGACAGTGAAACAAAATATTGTATCATCGTCTCATCATATTATTCAACGTACCTGGACACAACAAATTGATGGGTTACTAGTTTTAAAATCAGAAGTTAAGAATAATAGTTTGCTCAATAATTGTGCAAGTTACGGTACAAAGGGGAATATATAAAACATGCAAAATCTCAACATTACTTATTACTGGTGATAATCTGAAATTGTGTGTGGGGTTGCCTGTGTCCTGTGTGGGTTTTCTCCGGGTGTTCCGGTTTCCTCCCACATTCAAAAAACATGCACGGCAGGCTGATTGAACACTCCAAATTGTCCCTAGGTGTGAGTGTGGATGGTTGTTCGTCTCTGCGTGCCCTGCAATTGGCTGGCAACCGGTTCAGGGTGTCCCCCGCCTACTGCCCGAAGACAACTGGGATATGCTCATGCACACCCCGCAACCCTTGTGAGGAGAAGCGGATCAGAAGATGGATGGACAGATGGATGTTGGTATGGGTGAAGCAATTTATTTTTCTCTATCAGGTTTTGAAACAATATGGGACCCAGTAGATGTATTTACCGATTGTTTCATTTTGCTCTTGTTTATATTTGGACAATGTAACTTTTTGGTCTTGTTCAAACAAAACACAAGCAGTCTCAGTTAAGTCAGCGGTTTGGTTTTTTTTCTTCAAAAATTGGTAACATTGACTAATATGCAATCTTGTCATGGTTCATGATGATTTTAACCAATTGCTCGTTTTTTGTTTGTTTTATTTTTTTATTTTTTCCTTTTCAATTATTTGGGTGTTAAGTTGTTCGAGATGAAACCTACACAAGTGAAAGCCCATTTGCCATTTTAAAGTTAAAACCTGTTGACTCCAAATGGCAAATTAAAAACTTAATATTAGTTCATTGGACTTTCAACTATAAGTTACAACATCGCAGAGATGTGAATTAGTTTAATAAGGTACATTTTCAAGTTCCGATAATCGACCAGTTCAGGGTGTAATCTGCCTTTTAACCGAAGTGATCTGGGATAGGCTCCAGCATGCCAGCAACCCTCATGAGGATAAGCGGTTTGGATGGATGGATGGATGGATGGATGGACGGATGGATGGATGGATGCTCTTATAATGTACAATAATTGTTTGTTAACTTTAATATGTTGATCCAACTGCTGACGAAAAAAGAAATCAACTTTCACAACTTCTAAAATAATATTGAAGTAGCTAGAACATTATCTTAATATTGACTTGATGAACTTAAACTTTTGAGTTGAGACAAAAATTGTCCTCGATTTGAGCTCACTTTTTTTTCAAGGCAGCTTTTGTACTTACTTTTACAAGTAGAACTAGACAGACGGATAGATAGATTTCATTTACTTTGAAACGGTCATGTGTTTCTATCTCATCTAATGCATTCCAGTTGTGTATTGTAGCTTTGTTACTTGGACAATATGGTCACTCCATAGAGACATGTGGCAAACAGATGTACACGTTGGCTCTCACCTGCAGGACGTCCTGTATCTGGCCGAGTTGCTGCCTCAGAACCCGTTTCTGGTGGAAGCTGAAAGCCGGGTGATTGGATGCCATGGTGAAAAGCAACAGAAACTGATCCTCGGTCCTTCCGTCGTTTAAGGCCAAGCCATAATTGTTAATCACCGTGTCTATATGCGTCAACGTTTGGTACAGGACTCCCGCCGCCTCCCGGTTGTCCGACCCGAGCAGGGCAAGGGACACCAGCAGCTTACTCCGCACCACCTCGTCTGTGATGTTGGTGAGTCCGGATAAATCGGTGGGGTTGTTAGCCTTGATCTCAGCATCCCGCAACGAATGGTAGTCCTTACGCGCCAAGTCCTCCAGGCAGGAGCCGAGGAAGCGAAGCTCGATGGGGACGCAGAGGTCCAGCAGGCCACACAGGAACTCGGCTCTCTGGGCAGAGGTGAGGGAAGAGAACCAGCGGTACACTCCTTCCCTCTGGACATGGGTCCGACTCTCCACCATACTCAATCATCCACTGACGGTGGGTCTGACGCTTAAAAAAACAAACAAAACAAAACAACTGGGAATGTATTTTCAATTGAGAGTAAGTCTATTAAAAGCAAAACGGTACACGCACCCACAAAATCAGAGGCACTGTGACACAAGTTATCCGGTTCTTTCTCGTGTCGCACTCCTATTATTTCTCTGCACAACTAAAGGGAAGGGGTCTGTAGTATTAAAAAATCTCCTTGTCGTTCCACTGCAAGTACAGTAATCTATTTTGTATTCAGGACAACCTCCGCCTGTTCCTCCTCCGCCGATCGGACCGCAGAACCACTGACAGCCGAAGAAACAAACAGCACGCACGACCAAGCTGGTGTTCTAAACAGTCACCGCCTTCTGCTGCCATTTAAGAAGTCACTATCATCCAACAGCCATTTGAGCAATAGTGACTCCAAGTCTATCGAAGTGAACGTTGAAAAAGCCAATACTGTAACTTGCATATCTGCTGCTGCGAAAAGTTGAGAAAGCAACGTTACCTTGTGAAACAACACCGCAAAAAGTACTTTATCGAAGGACAACTAAGAGCGGCTCCACTTTCTGAATTCCTGGTGTGTATCTTGTCGTTTTCTTCATCCTATCGCGGCTCAATGAATACTAAAGAAAATAACAGCTGGGCATAACTATCCAACTTTGGATGCAAGAAACGCCCACTTCGTCAAAATCTGCAGTTTGATTGGCTAGTCTGAAATCATGGGCGCTTTTTTGATTGGCCCAGTACTTGACGGAAAAGATCAGCTTTCCGTGCGCTCATACGTTGAACAGTCAAATCCTTTACGTGAAAAGTAAAATATGCATTCAATTACTTGTTTTTGCCTTAACTATGGTTGTTTGAGCTTGCTTTATTTATTCAATCATGATTAATTTTCAAGCGCAAAAATGTTGTATCATATGTCCGGAGCAAATACTGTCCAGTACACAGTATTCCTGTAACACGGGGCTTTGCTGTTAGGGGCGGGCCTAGTGATTGGCAGTATGACAAGATGACTAATTCATATTAAATGTTGGCTCAAGTGAGTCTGGGTGCGTGAGTCTGTATGCAGTGCCTGAGTTTTGGAGTCTGAACGATAGCTCTCGCCGTAACTCTTGATTGAACGTGCGTCCTGTTATCGCTCACGCATGGTAATAATGTGACTGTGTGACACACTTTACTTTTTATAACCCGATAGTGTATTTTTTTAAATGACTTATATGAATAAAGAATATATTTTTATAGTATTGCACTGACATCAAAAAAACTACACTTCACCAAACTAGCACACATTGTGCACAGTAGCGGTTCTAGATCAATTTCACTGAGGGGGCCTGGCTGGGGCCAGAGGTTTTGATAGAGGGGCACATTCAACCCAGGGCAAAAAAGACAAAGATTCGAAATCTTATTTGACTTTTTATTTTCATCAAACTTTTAAACCTTTGCAGACATAAGATTACAGTGACGATGAAAAACAGTACAATAATCACAGTAGTACTGAATTAAGTGCTGATAAAAGATTCATATAGGTGCAGATCTTGTGGAACAGTCTTAAGCTGTCCCTACTGTTACAGCAACTGTATTCTGTGATTTTGGTGATTTCTGGCAAACCGTCTGAAGTGATTCAAGATTCAGTGCTTTTGACCTCCTAGACTCAATGCAAAGTACACTAAGATTGCTTAATGTATCATCATTCATAGTGGACATGAGGTATGTTTTCCCATGATTTAATGTGGAAAAACTCTGTTCTGCATTGGCGGGTCTTCTTTACATTTGCTGATGTCTGTGGAAAAAGACAAACCGAATAGAACCGAACATAATTTTTGCATGGACACAGCATATACACTAACCTGCTACACTTACACTGTTTAGGCACTCAAAAACACATAATTGTCTCAAAAATGTATTCATGAATGCTATTTATTAATTGCATTGATTAATTTATTTATTCATTTATTGTATTCAGTAAATATAAATTAATACATTCTAAAGCCTGATCAGGGACTCAAATTGCAAACACACTGAAGCTAGATGTTTTACATGCATCCAATTGTCCCAATTTTAAAAGGCAATGTCTTATATATTTGTTGGACACTGGACTGTCTTGTTAAATGTTATTTATTCCTTTGTCGTGTATTTGCAAACCCCCCATAGAATTTATTTTGTAATTTCCTCACTTGATTTTCTATTCTGGTGGATTATTTTCGATTTTCTTTGTGTCATTGAAGTTATCGTAAATGTACGTTTTTCGGAGGCCGTCCTTGAACGTCTCTCGAGTCGAATGCCAGAAGAGAAGGCACGGAGACGGACGTGCCTGTATTGGTTGATATTGTGAAAAGCACAATACACTACACGTTCTAAAAACCAACACCACAGCTCTCCTTTTTCGGAGCTGCAACATATTGTTCCTGTTAAATAAACATAAAAAAATAAAAAGGGATATCTAAAAAAGTTACACACACACGCACGCGCACGCGCGCGTACACCCGCACACACATGCACTCAGGCAGTCTCAGTTTCCTCATTCTCAGGATCTTCATCTGTCTCTTCATTTTTAACTTTAAATTTTTAACAGTGAAGAGGAATTACACTTCAGCAACCCTACTGTTGCAGGCGTGCTTGGTTTTGTGCTGTGATCTTACATTGACAATGTAATATCACTCGTCGTCGTGGTAATCTTGGGACTGCTTCTCTGGGGCTGCTACTCATCTTCGCGCTTGTCTTTTTTCAGTGGTGCAGCTCACTAAAAGGTCCGACTAGAATGTTAAGCCAGGCACTTTGGTTCCACCTTTTGCGTCGGCGACTGGGCGCTACTGTATAGTCTACGTTCGGAGGGGGGGGACACAGGGGACTCCAGAATCAGTGCTACAGGGTCACTGGCCCCTGTTGGCCCCTCCCCAGAACCGCCACTGCATATAGAACATATCTTCCTTATTAGTCAAAACTCGGGCTATGTTTTTACTGCGACCAGGCTTGCAGTCTTACGACTCTTTGTTAGCCTTTGGGTGCAAAGAGGTCACAGTCTTCTATGGTGATCATACATCAACTGATTTCATTTTGTGAGGCAGTACTTTTCCAGACGAATATTACCTTTTTCTCAGAAGTAGAAGCTGCCTTTTTAGCCAACTGTTACTGCTGACCAAGACGTCAAAATAATTTATTTGTGTTAATAAGTTAAGAGCATTTTTAAATAAGAATTGTCTTATTGTGATGATATGCAGAACAGGGTCGCATGAGGTGGAGTGAGACATTCAATCAGGCTAACTATTTTATAAAAATGTGAAAATTAGAAGGACATACTTTTGCTCTCTCCATTCTTTTGAAAACTATTTGAAGATGTATGCTCTACGACTGACTAGCGACCAGTTGTGGGTGTAGCCCGCCTTCTGCCCGAAGTCAGCTGGGATAGGCTCCAGCAACGCCCCCCCTGTTCAGAATAAGCGTGTTGAACATACAATAGATGGATGTTTGATGATGTCAAGTACAATATATCATGTGATTCACTGCTTTCCTCTTCTACCATGCTAAAAACATTACAGGAACAGAGTTGTGGGCAAACAAAGATGGCCCTTGACCAAGGAAGTACAATACAGTACTGTATGTTGTTTCTCCTTATCGTTAGGTCGTGGTGCTGTAATTTGAATTTGACACCAGCAGATGGAAGCAAATCGTTACGCTTGACGCACCACTACTTGGCCATTCGTTTTGATGAAAATGACACCCTAGAAGACAGTTAAATTGCCAGATCAAGTTTTGTTGTATTTGTTGTTTAATCTGCTAATTAAACTTTTCCTCTTCTGTTTTTGCTGGTCTTTCCAGTCATGCACAGCGCCTAGCTCTTGGGGTGAACCCACATCTCCATCAGGAAGAATGATAGCATCGGTTGTTATCGTAAGCAGAGACTTCCCTCCAAAATAGGCACATCCCTGTGTTTCTCCTGCACGGATGCTGCATTCACACTCAGGGCGAAATCACAAGTACCAATAGTCGTTTTTATTTTAAACACTTTAATTTCTCCACATGAAACAAAACCAAAACAGAGTAATTCCCAGAAATAAAGAAAACGGGGGAAGGAAAGGAAGACAGAACGATTGAAACTATAGAGAGAGCTTGGCATGCTGTAACATGCTGCAGTGTAACAGGTGCATCGTCACCAAGCTGATGACGACAGAACCTTTATTAGTATACGACCCAACTGAATGAAAATAATGTGATCTGCCTCCTGGTTTTAACACATGACGGATGGGGAGAAATGACAGAAATGAGAAAACAACTGAGATGATGTAATTCGGAAAAAACAGCAGCAGCTCATTATCCCCTGAAAGAGTTGCGGGTCGCAAGTGGCAAAGACATCTTATCCCATCACATGAATGGAGGATGCACACACGTTTGTTCAGACATTGCCATGAACTTTCATGAAAAGCGCACTTGCAAACAAGTACAGATGCTGATCTGCCAGAGGGATTTTAGAAACAAATCTGCTGCACTCAGTCAGGAAAGTTCGTGATTGCTATTAGAGTACACTCATGAACTTTGGTCTGTCATTGAATCTTATGATTCTGGTGAAACATTAAAAATACAACCGTTGAATCTGGTCATCGTTGCTTTGTACAACAATTTAACCACATTACGGTTATGTGCAAATATATTGAAATTTATAGTGGTTTATTCTAGCCTGCTTGGAATATTATCAAGATCTGTTCAGCCCGATAACACTGTGTAATATGTAAAGAAGATGCATTTTGACTCAGATGTCATATGCATTGTTTTTTTATGCAATAGATTTCCTGCACAGTCACTGAACAAATCAAACAAAGCTATGGAATTACAAAGTAGTACACATGCATTAATTAATATTTGACCCCATGAAACCTTGACGGGAATTAACAGAAATGAGCAAATACTCGAGAGTCTTTTTTTTTTTAATTGCTTTTCAATGCACTAAGACCATTGATTTGACTGGAACTTGCGTTTTAGTGCTGATGTCGTGCTATGCAGAATAATGCTGCCCAATGGAGATGCCTTACTCCTTGTGTACAGTATATAGCTCCATTTTCCACAGCTGTTCTTGAACTCACAAACTACTTCGCGAAAGGGGCTGCACTTTCACTGCTTGCAGCCAAGAGGTACATGGAATTTTACTTTTGTTCAACAAGCGATTCATCAATCTTAAGTTCCACTCAGTCGATAGAATTCTTAACGACCACTTATTTGATTACTATGCCAATACAGTACCGTCTAGAAAAGTCAGACATTTGTTGACGTACTTTAGCAGACATCTTGCTGGTTTACCTTAAAATATTTTTGCTGCTTTCTTCAGACCCGCTTGTGAGAGATACACCACTCACAAAAAGTTAAGCGACATTGGACTTTCAGATGACATTTCATAATGAACCCAAGAGGCACTATAACTTAATTTGACCTTCTCTCAACATTTGAATGGACCTGCCCAACTGCTCGTTGTTTTATTGCTTTTTGCACATCCCGCTGTTCGATAACAAGGACCCGAAAGGCAAAATTCACAACAGTTTATGGAGCCATTTATCGACAATACATTTTCATGGACGGCCACTGTTATGCCTTTCTGTGACTCTTCCAGTAGCTCTGTATTTCTGTTGAAACCCGCTGTCTATGTGTGTTGATAGTCACAGCTCCCTGGACTTCGGATAATTAACACTTACTGTAAATGCTGACCCTTTTCCGATTTCATAAGTTTTCATCAGCAGTTCTGATCACAGCAGTGTGTATAGCAGATGCAAACGCTAACTTCGCCCTTAGCCTACTACACAATGCCATTAGCTCCCAAGTCAATATATACCCAGAGGCAGTACACAGTCGCAGGAGATTTCAGTCATGTGGATGTAATAGTAGCGTTCCCCAGACTCTATCTACATTTAAAGTGTGCTGCACATGGTTAAAAAAAAAAAAAAAAAAAAAAAACAAACGAAATATAGTCTACATGAACATATAACGGATAAAAAGTTTGATACCATCAAATCACTTGAGCCAATCAAGCCACAGCAGAGGAAAAAGGCATGCAGACCAGTTCATAGATTTATTTTGAATGAGGCCAACTGAGGTCTGAATCTTGAGGTTGGGAGACAGCCACAGCCATGGCCCTCCTATAGTGTGTTACTGTAATGTTGGAGTCAGGCGGAATACTCATACCTTCAAAAGGAAGCCAAGTTTTTTGGGGTCTCCAAACAAGCGTGTGTGTAAAATATCCCATTAGAGGTCTCGCAATGCTGAGGTACCGTTCATCAATTGTTAGATCCTATGATGTCAAAATGGGAACAGCATGTTAGAGAGGTCGGTTTAAATAGTAATTCTAATTGAAACAGGAAACGTATGGGTAGATTCTTTGATCAAATAACCGTTCGTCAATTTTGCCATTCAGCTTCTTGCTGGAGATCAGCAAGTTGTGCAAAGAGTACCAAAAAAATGAGCAGTTCGCCATGTGCATTCAAAATTTTAAAGAAGGTGAAATTAAATTAATCTTTGAAGGTTCCAGTGCATATTAGGTTCATTCAGAAGTTGAATTATTGTGTATATTGCTGCGTGGTGACTGAAACTTGTTAAATCAGATTGATGCTGTATGGTCACATTGATAATGGTATACACTTGAATATTGTCTCTAAAAAGCCTCTGCCAGTTGTACAGCAGGTTTTAGGCTGTGCCAATGAGGGTCTGTCCTGAACTACCACCAACTCAGAGGAAGTACAGTTCAATGACTGGCGTGTATGGAGGTGGAAAAGAGTAGGAGGGAAAGACTAGAGAGAGCATCACTGCCTGCAAACATTGGTTTGCGGGATGTGGATGAGTTGAGAGCATGTCCTCATGAGACGTTCTCTCTCTGCTCATTGCAAACATACAATGGCTTTGTGGAGGCACACCATAGTCATGCACTTTACTCACACACAGATGACGCCGACTGAAAGAGTGGGATGGGAAACGAGCTGAGAGTGTGTGTGAGAGGTGACACAGACAGGCAGCCTCCAAGATTGTATCTGGGTGGTGCTGTAATTCAGTCCCTGCATTTGTCTTTCCTGACAGAGATGAAAGAAATACATCAGTAAGAACATTTGGGCAGACGGAAGAAGCAAAAAGTAGGAGTCATCTAGAGTGAAGTGAAGGGCTTACAAAAGAAATAATATGTCCATCAACATATTATACATGAGAGAAAGTGTTCATAAAGAAAGATGACAAATCAGTTGTAAACTATGATTTGAAGATGAAAAAGGTATAGATTTTGTCTCCAGACAGTGGAAGCAGGCATTACTTGCTATAACGCCATGGCCTGAGAATCAGACCAATTTCAGTCAATATGTGAACGACTCAAGCTCACTTTAGTCCAGTTTTCAGACTGAATTATGCAGCCCATTTACCAAGGCCGTTGTCCCCTTCTTACATCCACGTCGTTGGGCTCTGCACTGCAGTGTTGCCTTCATGGTAGCTGGATTCAGATTGTAACACACTCGCAAATTAGCCACCTTCAACCCAAATATTTGGGGCCAAAATGGATTATAGCCCTCCACGTTCTCTTCAGGTGCTTGCAGTCATTTTCCAAGGAACACAAATTTGACAGCAGATCCCTCTTCATAGCTATCGAAGTTTATAGTTGTAGCATGTCTAGGCTCATTCCGAAAACAATGCTATTCTTAAATAAAAAAGTGGATAAACAAAATAGCCACTCCAATGTTGAGAAGAACCACCATGGCAACCAGGATAACGCTGTAGGCCTGCAAGGGAAACAAATAAAAAGGGTTAATAAGGACACAAAAACCACAAAAATTCATATGTATGTAACCTACTTACTACTAAAAATAAAGACATTATTCAACTGAAAGGAGGAGTAGAATAATCAAAACTGTATCTCCAGGGCACATTTTCATGTGCATCAATCAAATTACACACGTCAGTAGAACAATAATTTGAGCTCTGTGTTAGAAACCCTCACTACTTGGCGCTTAAATGTCTGAATGACTTCAATAACACACAGGGCTCTATTTTCGGACATGTGGACAGAGGGAGAGTACTTAGACATGGCCTCGCCGCATATGATATTTTGGTGGCAGAATTTGTTGAAACTTTACTCCTGCTGGAACTGTTGTCTGAGTTCTGGCGCAGGCAGTCGAACGCGATTTTGGTGAATTTGATCGGGGCACACGAAGACAGATTCTGAATGACATAATCGTAGAAATCACTTAATTGAGCGCATTTTTACTCCTTTCATCTATCATATATATTTTAAAAGCCATGGTGCATCTATGAAGGATGGGGGTGGAGGAAGCGTGGTCACACACGGCCATAAATGATTGAGGTAAAAGTTGGTCTCCATGTCATTTCACAGATCTGTGCTCTCCTTAGCCAAAATTCCCTCATCCGCCCATGGAGCAGTCTGATTGCAGTTCCTTTTAAATGTACCGGTACTTTGCGCCCCTCGAATTGCTACAGGACTCAAGCAAATTAGCAGAACACCGGAAGACAGATCGCTGTTGATGATGGCCAAGACAGATTTACCGATACTTGGGAGAACCTCCTTAAAGACATGAGGAAGAACAGAGTCATCAGGGGAGTCGAATGGCTTCGTCTGACAAACCACATCCCATAAAAACTTCAAAGAAATAGAATGTAACAGCGCCAGACAATGGACGTGGACAGAGGGGGTCACATGTGGTGTTTGAAATGAGAGCCTTAGCATAGTAACATTATCCATGAAAACCTGCAGGAATCTATCAGTCAAAAATGCTGCCGGATGACTAACACTACATTGGTGTGTGAGTGTGTCTATGTGTGTGTCCTGCAGTCTGGATTAGTGATTCTGTGTGACAGTTCGACAGACCTCAACAGTATTAAAAGTCAAAACATGCAACTCTTCTTTCAAATGAATCAGCCACGCTAGAATATCGGATTCTGAATATGAGTACCTACAGTATCTGGCTCACATATATATCCGTGTTGGCCCAATTGGTGAGTGCATGGGAAGCCCCAGTCAATGGCTTGACATCACATCCGTTTCTACTTTGCATTAAAATTAACTAGGGTCATTGCCTGTGAGCTGTTTGGCTAATACCGGACTAGACACTAAGATAGGAGCACCAGATCCTTGTCAAACTTTCCACCATTGCTCCGTTTCCTAAAAATGCATTTGAATGCAGAGCAGCAATTGAAATCATATGGCGGGCAGGCGGATGATGCAGTTTCATGGTTGCAATTGCATTTGGCAGAAAACAAAGAATGAGGTTAACGACAAAAACACATTATTGAATAATATTAATACTAAATCAATCTGACATAAGATGCAAGTGCAGGTAAATTAATGGTGTGGGCCGAGATATGGGGTGAAAGAATTATTGGACCCCTTTTTGTTGAGTTTTGTGCATTAAGATTTCTCTCACACATGAAGCATGAATAGATTTTTAACATCCTGATTAAATTATGGTAAATTTCCAGTTTACTTTTTTGCAAGATGGAGCTCCATCTCATGATTCACGTACAGTACATGTGGAGTTAGAGCAGCAGTTTTCAGATACTTGGACTGGCTGGTGTGGTCCTGTGGAATGGCCTCCCAGATCCCTTGATCTCACCCCACTTGATTTTGATCTTTTGGGGCGTTTGAAGACCATCGGTTATCAGCAAAAGATACAAAACATAAATCATCTCAAGGGATGTATCACCATCTCATATTATATCAATACACATATATACTGTCAGGTCATCAAGCAATGAGCAAAGTCAGTGATGAGTGTGTGATGAGTCATGGAACTTTGACTAGTACCTGGAGACCAAATCCAAATCTGACGGAGCTTAGGGTGAAGAAAGCAAGAAAGTCAATGTCCAACGTGAAAGTCATGCCGAATGCACTGCAAGTACCGATCGGAAGCAGCATGAACAAAACATTGTTGCAAATGAACGTGATAATGAGGTTTGTGCTGATGAACCCTATAATAGGCTTATCCCAGATCTGTGGCACATAATCAAGCCACAGGTGGATAGAACCCATCTGACAGACTGCTTTTTCTAAGACCTACTCAGCAAGATAACTGTGCTACTCAGAAGCACAGCGAGTGGCAGATATAATACATAATATATTCAGAATGTCCAAGTGTCATTGTTACAAGGAATCGTATCATGTTGAAGGCCTCACATCAAATATCATCAATTCATGAGCTTGATTATTTGTCATTTTAGTTACGGTTGCTGACACTTAAGATATGGTGTGAACTGATCCATTTGTAACATCTATTTTTTTAAGATATAAGGTGTGTCAATTTGAATAATTTCACAGGAAGGACGGAGCCGGAATCAAACCGTGCACTTCTGCACCATGAGGCGGACATGCTAACCAGTCAACCACCGTGCCGCCCTTGCCTGCAATTATTTACATTGTTAAGTGGTGTTCAATACTGAAATATGCTGAATATATAATCATCAGATTCAAAATGTATATACATTATTTCTGGTGCCAATCTGTTCTGCAAAGTGTGTAAATGAGTGAACAAAAGGCTTTAACTGTGCACTTTGAAGGTTGTCACTTTTTGAGTTGAGTGAAGATCATATACTGTAGATAATTGTGAAGTCCTTTATAGGTGAACTTGACTTATTCTAGTCATTGCACAAAGAGTATGAGAGTAGCCAGTGCGTTTCAGCGTTCTGCATCTATTGGCCGCTGTGGAAGCAAGGCATAAGCTGTTCCCTAGCAACAGAGCGCTAGTTAACCAATAGCGGGGCATCTGAGAAGCCCTACTTTGCCAATCTGTTGTTACTAAGGTGCAGAGAGGACCAGTGGGCTCAAATCCAAATCTGACGGAGCTTAGGGTGAAGAAAGCAAGAAAGTCAATGTCCAACGTGAAAGTCATGCCGAATGCACTGCAAGTACCGATCGGAAGCAGCATGAACAAAACATTGTTGCAAATGAACGTGATAATGAGGTTTGTGCTGATGAACCCTATAATAGGCTTATCCCAGATCTGTGGCACATAATCAAGCCACAGGTGGATAGAACCCATCTGACAGACTGCTTTTTCTAAGACCTACTCAGCAAGATAACTGTGCTACTCAGAAGCACAGCGAGTGGCAGATATAATACATAATATATTCAGAATGTCCAAGTGTCATTGTTACAAGGAATCGTATCATGTTGAAGGCCTCACATCAAATATCATCAATTCATGAGCTTGATTATTTGTCATTTTAGTTACGGTTGCTGACACTTAAGATATGGTGTGAACTGATCCATTTGTAACATCTATTTTTTTAAGATATAAGGTGTGTCAATTTGAATAATTTCACAGGAAGGACGGAGCCGGAATCAAACCGTGCACTTCTGCACCATGAGGCGGACATGCTAACCAGTCAACCACCGTGCCGCCCTTGCCTGCAATTATTTACATTGTTAAGTGGTGTTCAATACTGAAATATGCTGAATATATAATCATCAGATTCAAAATGTATATACATTATTTCTGGTGCCAATCTGTTCTGCAAAGTGTGTAAATGAGTGAACAAAAGGCTTTAACTGTGCACTTTGAAGGTTGTCACTTTTTGAGTTGAGTGAAGATCATATACTGTAGATAATTGTGAAGTCCTTTATAGGTGAACTTGACTTATTCTAGTCATTGCACAAAGAGTATGAGAGTAGCCAGTGCGTTTCAGCGTTCTGCATCTATTTATTTATCTCAGTGTGACGATAACTGTATACTGTGAACCTGTCTGACACAAAACCCGCTTAGTTCGCCGCAGCTGCAAACACACATCCCATGTCAACCCCCC